TCTTACAAATGTTCGAAGCGACGGCCACCTTGGAAGGGTGGCATCAGGATGACTGGGCATGGGTGCTGGCTCCCCTGCTGACGGGTGAAGCCCAGCGTGCATACTTCTCTCTTCCCGCCGCCTCCGCCGACCAGTATAAGGAGGTCAAGAGGGAAATTCTAGCCCGCCTGGGGTTATCCCCGATCTGTGCTGCTCAGTACTTCAACGAATGGGAATATAAGCCCCGTCTGCCGGCCCGTGCCCAGGCCGCCGAACTCACGCGACTCGCGCAGCACTGGCTCCCCGCACGGACCTGGCTGGCAGGCTGCATTGTGCACAGCGACCTGCCAGTTGGAGCTCCAGAAGTGGACATGAAAGTAAATGGGAAGCCATTCCAGGCCATCCTGGACTCCGGCAGTGCGGTCACTCTGGTACAGTCTCACTCCACTCACATCTCTTGGCAGGGCATCTCGGGTCCGTGAACACCATCCAGCGGATCCGCGACCGCTTCCACTGGCCGGGCTTGGAGGCCGAAGTGAAGCGGTTCTGCCAAGCCTGCCCGACCTGCCAAGTGACGTCACCCAGGTCCACTGATACCGCTGCCCATCATCGGGGTGCTCTTCGAGCGCATCGGGATGGACCTTGTGGGGCCGTTGCCTAAGTCTGCCCGGGGACATGAACACATCCTGGTGATTGTCGACTATGCCACCCGGTACCCAGAGGCAGTTCCCCTCCGAAGAGCCACCGCCAAAGCCATCGCCCAGGAACCCTTCCTGCTCTCCAGCCGAGTCGGCATCCCAGCGGAGATCCTGACCGATCAGGGTACCCCCTTTATGTCCCGGCTAATGGCTGACCTCTGCCGGCTGTTACGGGTGAAGCAGTTGAGGACCACAGTCTACCATCCCCAGACCGACGGACTGGTCGAACGCTTCAATCAGACTCTGAAACAGATGTTGCGACGAGTGGTCACGGAGGACAAACGTGACTGGGACCTTATGCTCCCGTACGTCCTCTTCGGGATCCGCGAAGTTCCTCAGGCCTCAACTGGCTTCACCCCCTTCGAGCTCCTCTTTGGCCGGCAACCCCGCGGCCTCCTGGATGTGGCGAAGGAGGCCTGGGAACAACAGCCGGCAGCCCATCGCTCGGTGATCGAGCACGTGAAGCAGATGAGGGAAAGGATCGACCGGGTCATGCCATTAGTCCGGGAACACCTGACAAAGGCGCAGCAGGCCCAACAGCGCCACTATAACCGGGCAGCCCAACCACGGGAGTTCCAGCCCAGAAACCAAGTCATGGTCCTAGTCCCCAACGCTGCGTGCAAGTTCCTGGCCACCTGGCAGGGTCCCTACACAGTGCTGGAAAAGATTGGGCCGGTGACGTACCGGGTGCGTCAGCCAGGAAGGAGGAGAGCCGAGCAGCTCTACCACATCAACCTGCTGAAGAAGTGGGTTGGGACTAGA